ACAGCAATGAATTGACCGAATTTTTTGGGGGGATGGAGGTGGGAATTGTTGGCCAGGGGCACTGGAAGAAACTCCCTTCTTTTTTGGATTGGTGCCATAGATTCTTTAAAGTCGTCTTCATCCGGCAGATGGGACCTCAGTTTAACGTTTCATCTGAAGGATGGCACCTTCAGCATTGCAGTGTATCCCCCACGCTGCGTAGAGTGTCTAGTGCCCTACAGCCTAGAATATGCGTTCAAAGTCCCGATGTGGGGCTTGAATCATCCTTCTAAGTCGGCGGCAAGAGTGCTACCACTGAGGTAAGCTTTTGCTTCCTGTCAACAAAGTGGAAGAGCATTCTTCTAGTCATCGGCATGTGAGAGTTTTTGTTCGCCTTGAACTCAGATAATTGTTGTGAGGGATGTTTGGCTTGGACAGCTCTGGATGCTGTTATTCGCTTGTTCCATCTCTCAGAAATGCTTCTTGTAAGTTCTTGACGGGAATCAAAAAAAAACAAAGGAACTGTGTTAAAATGCTGAGCCGCAGGAATAGAAATTTTATTGGAAGGACATAATTGGGGCAATGCTGTGTTTGTTAGTGTCCCTGACCCAGATTTCGTCATGTCCGCTCAGCAGCATGCTTAAGTATATCAGGACAGGCAGGTAGTTTGCATTTATAATTGCCACAGTAACTGAGCTAATCCTCTGTTGTACCTGTTTCAAGTTGGTTGCAATCCCTTTTGTAAGTTTCACCAAGGAAACAGACTGTGATTAACAAACAAAGCTTTCAACACAGAAAGTGGCCATTCGGACATTGCGCCCCTATTTGATTTACTGCTTGGGGATGCTTATCCACCTCCCTTTAGAACTATTCTCGTGAGCTTTCTAATATTTTTCAATTAAGCTCAAGTACCCCCTTAGTTATAAACAACAAGTTACAATAATTCTGTGATTATCCTGCTTCAGGGATTCTGAGGACTGGTTACGCAGCAGCAAAAGCCAATCAATCTCCACAGCTCAATGTAGATAACTTTGAGAGAAAGGTCACACGGGCCTTGTGTTCATCGATTAAACATTGCACTTACAAACAAGTTTAGTATCCAGCAGAATGTTTTGAAATAGTATGAGGTTTTTTGTGAAAACTGCAGTTTCCCTCCCTCAAGCTTTGATAAGTTGCAGGCAGACAGGTGCACGTTAAAACTTTCTTTAAAATGTAATGACAGTCTGTTTTTGTCAAAACAAAGGGAAACGTAGACTTGTGCTGTTACTATTGCCGTACTCATTATTTTTCCATATTGGCTATAGTATCTCAAACAAGTAAAACCTATTCTCTTAGCTATGGAAACATTTGACAGTTAAATGTATGTGGTGTGGAGAACATAATGTTTGGGACAGATCGGGCATATTCAGAAAATGGGTACTTTTGGTAATGCTGCTAATACACCACACCTCAAGTAAATGTTTCTCCACGCACGTGTGATGGGTAAAATGCAGTACTTAATAATAAGTTCTTGCATTTCATATAGAGTCTTGTTGCATCATCGAAATGTCTCAAACTGCTTCACAGGATCTTACTGTGTATCGTTAAAACTGTGTAACTTGGAGGCAAATACGGCGGCCAATTTGCACACAGCAATGTCCCACAAACAGCCATGAAGTAAATGACCAATTTTATCTGGGGATTGGTGGCTGGGACACCAAGAGAGACTCCCTTTTCGAGTAGTGCCACGAACTGGTTGGCGGAACCTTAGGCATGTTTCCTTACTCCACTCCTCGGTTTACCTAGCAGTAAGTAATAATAATGATAATAATAACAATAATAATCCTTGCATTTGATATAGCGCTTTTCTCGTCTTCTCAACGTCTCAAAGCGCTTCACGGAATAGACTGTCGAATGAATTGACCGTATTGTTATGAGTTGATTGGCGGATCGCTTTAAGGGTAATAATCCCTCCCACGACTGTTTGTGATACACTAAATCAGCTAATCTGTCGATGAAGAAAGCATGTGTTGAAACTGAAATGGGGAATTTTTGTGATTGAGTTTGAATTTATGGTGTGTGAGTGATCTGCACGTAGAGAGCAGATTGAGCGTGGGTGTGGAGAGGTTTGGAAATAAAATAAGCCTCGCATTTTAAACCGCACCTTTCACCTTGGGAAGAGGTCCCAAAACGCTTCACGGGCTATACCGTAAAGTGTCTTTTGTGGGCGAATGCGTCAGCCAGGTTTCACACAAAATGTGCATTCGGCACGGTAATAATGAACACTTTGGGAAATTGTTAAGTGAAGTCGAACTCTAAATATTTGAAATAATTCCTAAAAAAATTGGTCACTCAATCCACGGCCGTTTGTGGGACGCCGCTGTGCGCAATTGGCTGCCGCGTTTCGCCCACAAAATATACAGTCAATTCACATTACAGTATATTCTGTGAAGCGCTTTGAAATGTCTCGCCGATGTGATAAGGCACTGTATCAAATGCAAGGATTATTATTAGTAGTATATTATTGTGTTGCTTTCTGTTACGTACCTGCAGATCTGACTTTATGGCTACAGTTGACAATTGGACACGTGTTCAAAACCTGTACACTGTTGCTTGGAGGCTGTCGGCTTAGAAATGGCCTGATGATGTTTTTGAGTGTCATCGCTTTGGTTTGAACAGTCCACTATGGAGGGATACCAGTGTGATTGCTGCAGTGGCCTGGAGCTGTCTGACTGACACCTACCATGTCAACCACTACTAATTACAGTATCAGCAGTTCCTGTCCTGTCTTTGTGCGCCGTCTTCATCCACTGACTATAGAATTGCATGTGGTTTCTGGCACCATCTCTGTTGTCATTGCATATCAGCTCTGAAATGTCTTTGGGGGTTAAAGCATCATGCTGATCACGTGAGTGACATTGTTAAATAGTTTAACAAGTGAACGAGTGCTAAAAATAAGACAGTGGTAACAGAAGTGTGTATGGGGTGGGGGTTGAATGTCTGAGGCCTCCCGAGGTTACAAAACCTGTACAAAACCGAGGTTACGTGGAGTCCTGTAGCTCAGTGGTTAGAGCACTCGCTTTGCAAGTGAGAGACCTGAGTTCAATTCCAGGCAGAGGGCGAAACCTCGGGCAAGTTTCCTTACTCCACACAGAGCCTAATAATAATCCCTCCAAAACAAAAACAATAATAAATTGGTCATTTTCAATCCATGACTGTTTGTGGGACATTGCTGTGCGCAATTGGCTGCCGCGTTCGCCCACAAATATACAGTCAATTCACTTTTCAGTGTGTTCTGTGAAGCGCTTTGGGACGTCCTCCCGACGTGAAAAGCGCTATATCAAATGCAAGATTATATTATTATTATTATTATATGCAGTATTATTACACAACAACAAAATTACATTTGCATAGCGCCTTTCATGTTGGGAGGACGTCCCAAGGCGCTGGACAGTCAGAGCTTCAGACTTCTCACAACACAATTAAAAGTAAATATGAAGCAGTCCACGTGATTACATTAATGTTCTGAGAGAAGAGTCTACCCTGGGACACAGCCCTGCGTGAGGGGCACCACATAAATGCAAGTTGTTGTTGTCGTTTATTTAGCATTCAAAGTGCGCTGCTATGTTATACAAAATATTTGCACCAACTTCATCAATTTACAAATGTTGGTTATTACACAGGAAAAATAACCAAATGGGGGCAGCAGCAATAATAAATAATCTTGACATTTGGTATAGCACCTCGTCATGTCGTCGAGACGTCTAAAAGCGCTGCACAGGATATACTGTAAAGTGGAGTGATTGTGAATTTTGTGGGCGAAGCGCGGAGTGACAAATTTTTTTATTTGGGGGATTTGTTGGTCAGGACACTAGGAGAAACTCTTCTCTTTTCGAATAGCACCATGGGATCTTTAACGTCCCCCTGAACTGGCAGACAGGACTTCAGTTTAACATCTCATCCAAAGGATGGCGCCTCGAACAATGCATTAGAGTGTCAGCTTAGACTATGTTATTCACAGTATTGACATGGGGCTGGAACCCACAGCCCTCTGACTCTGAGACGAGTGTTACGACTGAGCCAGGCTGACACAGCAAAGAGAGACTGGGAATCATCGCAGAGGCAGGGAGGAGTGAGGGCCTATAACAATTTGTAGGTGAGAATAATGATCTTGAAGTTGATCTGCGAGGGAGATGGAACCTGTTTCATCACATTTCTTTATATTTTGGAGCCTAACTAAAACTTACAGATTAGAATTTAAATTTGTGTTTAGTGTCTAAATTCCCGTTGTCAAAATAGTTAGATAAGTTGAAGTAGTTGTAAGATTTGACGTTCTACATTTCATTTGGTTTGTGCTTGCAGGAAATATCAAAACCCAGCAGACCAGTGCAAAATAAATGAAATGGGTTTTTAATTACAGGCTAATTGTTGCTGAAGGCCACTGATATTTTGCTGCTTTATAATAGCATCTTCTCATGGCAGAGCGAACAGTGATGGGTTTGTTTATAGAACAAATGGAGAGAGTGAGGGGAAGCTTATTTCCCTTCCTTTATATAACTGTCTTATATATATTTTAATATATATGTGAGAAGGGTTATTAGTGTATCGCCGATTATAGAACTAGGTCGTTTAGTATTAAAAAAAACATTTGGCATGCGATAACATCTTTCCATGTTCAGCTATCAAGCAATTGAATTTGGTAACCTAATGTATTTAGCAGTTGATGTAGAATTTGACCTTGTTTTATACATTTGGTTACATAAATCTGGAACCGAAGTTATAACAAAATAAAATAAAAGTTAGCGGGTACTACTTCCAAGTTGTCGGGTTGTCCCTGATGCCGCTTCTGGCTTTGACGCCGTGTGCAGGAAACCTGATACTCGGTGCCAGAAGCGTCTCCAATAACCTACCACCCTATAAAGGAGCTGCTATAACAAGTTGCGCTATGATGAGTGTGGGTTTGCGTTGCTTAACAAAATGTTCAAATTGCTTTTTTTAAACTCCTGAAGTAGTAACTCCTTAAATTTCATCCTACGTTGCAGGCTTAAAGCCCACCAGAGACTTCACACGGGGAAAACCTTTAACTGTGAATCAGAAGGCTGCACTAAGTACTTTACTACACTCAGTGACTTGAGGAAGCACGTCAGGACACACACAGGGGAAAAGCCATTCAGGTAAAACCACTGCAGCGCTGTTATCGAGCAGATGTATTTGCCAGCTAGTCCGCTTGGCTTGTTCCAACGTAAGTGGACTGCTTTTCTATTATGAAATTGTTCAAAATTGATTACGGAAATTGAAATGTAACTAAAGTTGCTTGAAGGTCTGTTGCTGCTTTGAGGGATTTATATTCCGGTCATTATCTGAGGTTCTGAGTTTGAGATGGTCCATCCAGCAACGGTACTCTAACCCTGTGGGCCCTACAGTGTGCTGCAGACACAATGAGCATTGGTCATAGCACAGCATGAATCACTGCCTTTCAGGAGACCGGGAGTAAAAGCAAAAATTGGAGGAAGAAAATGGGAAAAGTTTGGCTCTGGGATAATTATGGCAGAAATACTTCATATATTTTTGATATTCTCCTGAGAAATTGAAAGCGTCACCCTAGCTCAGTTGGTAGAACTCTCCGCTCTGAATCAGAAGGTTGTAGGTTCAAGCCCCATGTCGAGACTTGGAATTCATATAGTTTATACTGACTCCAAAGCAGTGATGGGGTGTACTGCAGAGGTGGCATCCTTCAGATGAGATGTTAAACTGAGGTCCTTTCAGACTGTCCAGATGGTCGTTAAAGATCCCATAACACTCTTTCAAAAGAGAAGGGAGTTTCTCCTTGTCTCCTGGCCATCAATACCCCAAATAAAATTGGTCGCTGTTTGTGAAATACTGCTGTGTGCAAATTGCCTGCTGTGTTTGCCCACAAAATACACAGTTACATCACTTTACAGTATATCCTGTGAATTGCCTTGAGACATCTCAATGATATTAAAAGGCACTAAATCAAATGCAAGGATTATTATAATTAAAGTGTTTTATAGTGTACTTCAAGGATGTATAATATGCCGAAGGTTTTTTTNGTGTTGGAATATGTTAAATTCCCTTGTACAGATATGTGAGATGTTTAGAATTACAGTTACTTGAAAATGTTGCTGTGTGTTCAATATGAGATTGTGGATTAAAAACAGAAGTTGCTGGGGAAATGCAACATAGAGAGATAGAGAGAAGAAAATGAGTTAACATTTCAGGTCGATAACCTTTCGTCAAAACAAAACCTTATCGACCCGAAACGTTAACTCATTTTCCTCTCTTCGTAGCTGCTTGACATGCTGCGCATTCCCAGTGACTTCTGTTTTTATTTCAGATTTCCAGCATCTGCAGTATTTTGCCTTTGTTTTGTGAGATTGTGGAAACCTTGCTTTATATTTGTAGGTGTGATCATAATGGCTGTGGGAAGGCATTTGCTGCCAGTCACCATCTCAGAACGCACGTCAGAACACACACAGGTAACTTAGTCGTGCTTCACGTTTTACCTCCCACCCCCTGGGTATTTACCAGAGAGTGAAAGGTGTATACACCAGTTTCAGCATTATAGCTCCTCAGTAGAAAGCTCTTGCATACATCTATGGTTAAACCTTTTGTTTCTGTAGTTAGAACCTTTTCTTATCTGCAAAAATGTATTGGAGAATGTTTATCTGAGAATGTTTATGCTGAGAGTGAAGAGTTAGTGGCTCCTTGATCAAGACTTATTTGTGAGTTCTTTTATTTGGAGTGAACACCATTTTCATTTCAATTTATAGACATTTTAACAGCACCTTTTTTTCTGGTGAAGGGAAGAAAGTTGCAGGATTTTATATGCTAGCATTATTCTTAACTACTGCTCGTCAACAATGTTGTCTCTAGGATGAATTCTGTTCATTATAGACATTATTGTTTATTGAAAATATATCAAGAATATTAGGCTTGTACAAATGTTTTGGTGAATGGTAATTTATATTTCGAGCACACCTAAAGTTGAACCAAAGGTTAGCCTTCAGCCAAATACTCCTCCTTGAGGGGAGGTAAGAACATAAGAAATGCTAGATGAGAAAAGACCAAGCAAGGGCCATCTAGTTCACCTTCCACCTCCCTGGCGGTCGCATGTGCATATGTCCCAAACTACCCATGCACTACATCCCATAATGTTATTTCCTAAAAGAAAACTATCTAATCTGTGTTTGAAAGAATCAACACTTCTTGCTTCAACCAACCCAGTTTTTCTCCCTTTTGAAGACCTTTGACTGCTTTTGACTGCTCCAGAGTAGACATGCGCGAGTTGTCCTCTAGCACTAATTCTCGTGACCAACTTTGTGTGTAGCCTTGTGATATGTGAGCCTTGAAGTGTGTGTGGTAAGGTAAACAACCGTGCCAGTCGATAAATTTGGTCCACTACCAAATTGGCAGCTGTGCCAACTTTATCAGCTATCAGCAGATCAAATAATCACCCCTTCCAATAGATGATTGTACAGGTGCATTGCTCTGCTCCATTCTGTGACAGTAAGTATTTAGAGGAAGAGCCTGTGTTCTAAAAAGATTAAAATAGAGTTTTCTCTGAAAATCCCAGATTAAACCTCTTCACAAATGGTGTTTGTGGGATTATTTTCCGTGGCTATAAACTCTCAGGCACTGGGTGTTCATGGATTTGAAAGAATGTCTTCTAATCTCTATGAATCATTACTATTCTAGTAAACCATTTGATTCAGATGTTCATTGTGTTTTTTTAATTCCTCTTGCCAATCTTTGAATGCCAGCTGAGTGGGGCTAATATGTTCGCAAACTGTGTGCAGGAAAATCAGAGTGAAAGTAGCTTGAGACTGCTCATTGTTAGGAGTCTCAGAACAGCTCTTATGTACGTCCCTTTAGCCTAAGGTGATGCACAGCACAGGGAATCTCCAATACGAAGGCTAGAATATGTAAGAATATAAGAAATAAGAGCAGGAGTAGGCCATTCGGCCCCTCGAACCTACCCGGCCATTTAATAAGGTCATGGCCGATTTTCTAACCTAATTCCATTTTCCCACCCTATCCCCATATCCCTTAATCCCTTTAGTTTTTAAAAATCAATCTATAACAACAACAAGATTACATTTGTGTAGCTCCTTTCACGTCGGGTCAACCTTCGAGTATGATCCAACAAATGTCTTATTTTAGAGTAAAGCACCTGTGAGTACAAAGTACTTATTGTAATAATCATAATAATAAATTGGTTACTTAATCCACGATTGCTTGTGAGACACTGCTGTGCGCAATTGGCTGCGCGTTTCGCCCACAAAATGTACAGTCAATTCACTTTACAGTATATTCTGCAAGAGCTTTGAGACGTCTTGAAGACATGATAAACCACTACATCAAATGCAAGGATTATTATTATTATCTTTGGGTTCTGTCCTAAGTAATCCTTTTGTAATAGTGTAGTTCTCCAATTGATATTCAGTGGTTTTCATGTACATTTCTTTCCCCCACCCCTTCCCCCCATCTTCCCTTCCTACTCTGCCTTGGAATTGGTGTTGATGACTATCCTGTTATCTTGCAGGTGAGCGACCGTTCCTATGCCCCAGCGATGGATGTGAGAAGACGTTCAGCACGCAATATAGTCTCAAGAGTCACATGAAGGGCCATGACAAGGAGAACCCATGCATCGTCTCAACACAAAACTCCTTGAATGAGGTTAGCTGCTGCAGGCTGTTCTCTTGCTTCTGTTAGTGCAGGACTTGCCGCCAGATCAGGATGTCAAGTCCGCTCTTAGCTGCTTTGTGTTGGTTCAAGCGCTCCTGGATTCTAACCGGCGTGAATGGCGCTATATATAATGGCGCAAGTTGTTGTTAAATGTTTTAAGATTTTCACACCTGTAGTTGCAGGAGAGGCGTGCGACAGTGCAAGAAATGTTTAACACATGCGGATGAGTGAAATGTTCTGTATTTGGTTGGTGGACAGGAGTGCCGTTGAAAATATTAGTGTTTAATTCTATAATCACCATTTCAGTATAAAATGGTGTAAAATGGTTTGCAGCAACTTGCTCTTGCGCCTTCACCGGAAGGTTTACACTTGGATGTACAATAGAATGTATGAGTGTTGGATTTTGAGACCTGGCTACCTTGATTATAGTGCAATTCAGATTAGCTGAAAGAAATTGCACATTTTAATGGCTGGTGTGGAGAATGTTTAGACCCATTGTTATGCCTGAGGAATGACTGCAGGTAAATACAGGAATTGATTGTCTGTCTGTCTAGAAATTTGATGCAGAGAATGATTGACATCTTTCTCATTCTTAGAATTAGAAGAAATTAGGCCTTTTTAAAATCAGTTAGTCTACTTGGAAAATATTTCAATGTAAGAACCATTGTTTGATCAGATCAATAAACGATAACGTGTGCTTTTGAAATTGTATTTTTAAGTATGTGGGTTATTCTGTAGTAGATTTTTTTTCAATAAACGTCTTTGGTATATACATTTCTTGGTCCTATTAATAACACAATCATATCTAATTTGAGTGATATATTAGATTTCCACTGAGTTTAATTAATTGTGTATTTTGTAACCATTTTACAGGAGACGAACCAGTCACTTTGTTTAAGTGATCTGAGCTTGATGTCGACAGATTCGGAACTCCGAGAGAACTCACACTCGGTACGTAACTCATGGTTTGTTTACTAGAGTATTGACACCTAAGACTTTTGAAATTTTCTCCATCATTCAGTCTATGCTGTCAATCCAAATTGAATCCAAATTAAATATTTTAACGGCAGGCAGTCAATTGTTTAAATTGTTCACTAACCTGAGTAAGGATACTGTATTCCCCAAGATTATTTTGATAAATGGTCCTACTGTATTTAATAAGATTTGGTATTGAGAGTCAGCAGTGCCCTGATCTACACAAGTTTGCTCATTCTTTTACAGGCAAAACCTATTCTATGAATCCCATTTAACTCCTTTCTATATTAAGAGGATTGACTGCTCTCTCATCATTAGATCTGTTTAGAATCAGAAATTTACAGCACACAATGAGACCGAAAGGCCCATCAAGTCTCAGATCGGAGCCCCAGGACCCACTCTTCAGTACACCACCAATTATTTTTTGTCATCTATGAAAACATCCTTCTAGCCCTATTCTGCTTCCTATCCTTCAACCACCTTTCTATCCAAATTGCCACATTTCTCCCTATTCCATGTGTGCTGAGTTTCTCCACATTGTGCCTTTGAGATTGTATTTTTCTGGCACTTTATCAAACACCTTGTGGAAATTCAGGTACACACATCCATAGGTGTTTGGAATGGAGAAGGATATCTGAGTTAATGTGCCTCCATTTGGCTCATACACAAAGGATGCTAATGAATATAGAGGGATACTGGCATGTGTGCATATTTACTCCCAAGTGAGTCATCAATTTTCCAAGGAAAACGAAAAAAGAATTGGATTAATTGCTGATAAACAAAATGGGTAAGGAATTGAGTTTAAGGAAGAATGACATCATGCCTTGAATCAGGGTGGAACCAGATGGATCAGCTAAAAGATCATCTCTCTTTATATATAGTCTCAAATTAACATTTTAACAAAAAATTACCTCATTAGTATAATCTCCTCCTTTTCTTCCTCTAAAATACATCAATCATTTTTGCTGACTATAACACAGGCTAATATTGTTTTCCTTTTCTCCCGATAGAACAATCGACGAGATCTGAGCACTATTTCAGCAGAAAGCATCTTTGAATCTATGTTTCACAACACTGATAGCTGCACAAGCCACGATGGCTCCCAGGCGAGAGGTAGTGAGAATCTTATTGAATCTACGTGTTGCCCACAGTTAAACAATCCCCAAAAAGCACATTGACATCTCCACTGATTTCTAGTTAAAGGGTGGCCCTGTTGAATGTCAGTTTGCTATTAGAGTGTGTTTACTATATCCTGAATTCAGGCAGCTGTTCCGGTCATTTGTGTTCTCTGTGTGTTCTCTGATTCCTAGATCAGAGAAAGAAAGATATTTGATTGTGGACTTGGCAAAGTTTTCTTCACAAAGTTACAGTTTCTGACTCGTCAGTTCCACCTCAGTCTTGACTGTCTGTGCAAAATGCTGAGTGGCCTCCAGCTGTTTTGACTTTGAAGTTTATTCCTAGTAAAGTGCCATTGCTGTGCATGCTGGACTGTGCCTGCACTCTGCTTCACAGCCGACAGGTTGTTTTCATTGACCGAAAAGCCTGAGGAGAATAAGAAAGATCAAACAAGAGATTCCAGTTGTTCCCGACTCTTCTGGGGTAATCCAGAATTGATTCGGATTGTATTGAAGAGTAACGTTAAAATTGTTCCCGTCATTTAACTAGGAAATGTATTTTTTTTAAAAATCCTGTTAACTAGGATGGTCAAACAATGCAGGAGAACTGCAGAGTCATGGGACTGTGTATAGTTGTGCTAACTATTGGTCTATTGGCTGGGGAAGATGACCATGGTAAGCTGTCTTATCTTGGCCAGAACAGTAGAACCAGAGGACACGCCCTTCGATTGAAGGGGCTTAAATTCAAAACCAACCTGCGGAAACAGCATTTCAGTGAGCGAGTAGCTCACTACTCACTACTAATGTATGGATCGGGCTCCCGAGGGAGACGGTGGAAGCAGAAAGTGTTGATTCTTTCAAAAGTGAATCCGATAGATTTCTGTGTAGAAAATAATATGGTGGAATAGATCCAGTGTAAGGTTTGGGACATGACATGTGCATGCGAGGCAGACATGACTGCCAGGATGGTGGAAGGCAGACCGGATGGGCCTGGATCTTCTTTCGTCTAACAATTCTTATGTTTTCCTGACATGAAAGGCGCTCTATAAATGCAATCTTGTTGTTGTTCTTATCGAGGGGAGAAGAGAAGGGAAATGGTGGAAATTACAAATTAGGGTTGTGCTTTTTTGCAGATTTTCCTTAAAGTATTTTTTTTCTTTCCTCTCCTGAAGCTGAAGATGGACTAACTGGAACATATGGCAGCGATGTGCCGCCAGCACCTGTTGTGAATCCTATCGTAGCTGAACCCGGGTCATTGTCGTTTACAATCCCTCTTCAAACTGTGTCACAGCCAAGCGTCGAGAGCCATTCCCAGCCCTCAACAACAGCAGCAGCCCTTCCCCACATTACACTGAATGCCGCCGTCATCTCCAATACACACCAAACTGTCTTCGGGAATCCCACCAGCGTCGTGCAGACACCTCAAGTGCCCGTCGCACAGACTGCACAATTCTCAGCCAATCAACAAGAATTCATTCAGCCTACCCAAATGCCCCAGCCTCCGTCGCAGGGCTTTCCAGTGATGCCCAGCAATAGCCTTCCACCATCTGGTAACACAGAGCCACTGCCAACCCTGGTGCAAACTGTGCCTTTAGGTACAAATCCTCCCACAATAACAATTACTCCATCGCAGAACACCACCATTCTACAACCCAGCATTGTAATGGCAGACCCCAACCTCCAGTGGATCATTAATGGAGCCAGCACTGTTCAGCAGAACTCTGAGCACATGGTGAGTTTGTGTGTCCAGGTTTGTTTTTGAGATTAGATAATATTAATACTAATCCTTGCATTTGATAAAGCACCTTATCAAGTCTTCGAGACGACTCAAAGCGCTTCATAGAATATACTGCAAGGCGAATTGACTCGACATTTTGTGTGCGAACAGGAATGGACAAGCAGTTCAGCAATGACTACCCGTGAACCAAAGTTTGTCTTTGCGATTCTGAAATCGTGAACTGCCAGTGGCAAACCTATGCTTTACCCTCTTCCTTCCCACTCATCAAAAACATTCCTAAGTCAAGCATTGCTGCATGTAATTTTTAACAGTCAAGTCAGTTTAAATAAAGTACCAGACAGGCAGGTGTGATGACATTTAGTCTGTTAACGTTAACATTTCAGATCAATGACCTTTTGCCCGAATGTTCTGACAAAAGGTCATCAACCTGAAAGGTTAAGCTGCAGATCATCCAAAACTCTGCAGCTCATGTACTCTTGCACACCAGGCTCCATGAGTCCGTCACTCCCACCCTCGCCCGACTTCACTGGTTCCCCATCCCTCAGAGGATCAAATTCAAGATCCTCATCCTCACTTTCAAGGCCATCCATGGCCTTGCCCCCTCCTCCCTCGCTGACCTGCCGACTCCCTACCAACCTGCCCGCTCCCTCTGTTCATCGGGCTGCGGCCTGCTCCATGTCTCCCGCCCGACCCACCTTACCAGCTGCGGCCGGGCTTTCAGCCTCTCTGCCCCCACACTCTGGAACTCCATCCCACAGTCGCCTCGCTTCCTCCCTTGCCTCCTTCAAGGCCGGTCTCAAGACTCTCTTCGATCGTGCCTTCAGTCGCCCTCCCACCTCTCTGCCTTCCCTCCCCTACACCACCCTTCCCCCATGCTCGGGTCCTGACCCCTGACTGTCCAGCACTTTGGGACGTCCTCCCGACGTGAAAGGCGCTCTATATTTTGTTGTTAACTCACTTTCCTCTCTCCATAGATGCTGCCTGACCTGCTGGTGGGTGTTCCCAGTCACTGTTTGTATTTCAGGTTTCTAGCTTCTGCAGTATTTTGCCTTTTGTTTATTGAATAAATGCCATCTGATAGTGCTTGACATGTGTTTTTGAAAACCCTTTTTTAGAATTGGAGGGTTTTCTGTAGCTCAGGTGCTTATCTCCACAACCTTCGATCCCTCTCATTGTTGTTTGTCCATTTGTTTGCAAATGAGTTAAGTGGTATTGCATTCACTCCAATGGCAATCTACTTGGCACTTGTCTTCTATTGGAGTTATAGTACCTCAGATGCCAATCATTCTGTGTCAGCCCTGATGGTGAGTTTCAGCAGGCTGTAGTCTTGCTTGAGAAAGGGTAGGGGAGAGGGAGGAGGAACGTAACAGACAATCTGATCCTTCATTCCCTCTGAGCTGATTTTTTTCCTTATTAATGCTAAAGATAAATTCCCAACCTCTACCCTGACCCCTGACTGGCTATAAAGTCGGAGACTCCCAACTTCACCACAGTAACAAAAACACATTTGTACAGCACCTTTCACGTCTCCGATTACACACATGGGGAATTGAACCTGTGGTTCTTAAGGATTGTGTGACTTTGTGTTGCCGGCTGTTGCTTTACCCTCTAGGCTGTCGGAGTACTATCACTTGTAATTTAAGGAAAGAACTTCGTGGTTTGGATTTATTTTGATTTCACTAATAATAACATTTGTATTTCAGCAGCAGGGACCGAAAGTAGAGAAAGTGTTTTTCACCACTGCAATACCAGTTTCTGGCAACACAGGTAACTTGCAATCTGCGTCCTCTCATTTTATTTGATTCCCATTGATCCAAATGTGAGGCAATAGGGTTATAAAGAAACAGAGGACTTACATTTTTTNAAAGTGCCCATAAACATTAAAACATCCATTTTACGGATAAGACTTTAAACCAAGCTCCTGTCTGCCTCTTCAGTTGGAAGTTAAAAAAGAGAAGGGAGTTTTGCCAGTGTCCTATCCATCAATCTCTTAATAAAATTGGCCTTAGTGGTCCATTGTTGTGCACAAATTGAATGCAGACAGAATAGTCATTGCACTTTACAGTAAATTCTGTGAAGCGTTTTGAGACGTTGTGTATAAATCATCTTTGGCGAGACAGAGGGATTGAGGGAGAGGGTTCCAAAGTTTCGGGGCGTAATGCCTGAAAGTACGGCTGTCGATGATGGAGCAGAGGGGAAGAGGGTCAAGCAGGAGGCCTTTGTATTGTACGCATTTGTCTTGACTTTTGTGTCTTGTCACGCAGGAAATCAAGTTCAACAAATAGGTTTGAGTGTCCCAGTCATCATCATAAAGCAGGAGGAATCGTGTCAGTGTCAGTGTGCCTGCCGCGACTCCAACAAACAGAAAGTGCCCAGCAGCAAGGAGAGTTCTACACAGGAAGCAGGTTCTTCCCGGGAACCCACCACCGTTCAGGAACAGTCTCGTCCCGAGGCTCAGACTTTCACCTCGACATTGGAAGACAGCAGTCAGGTGACGCAACCACTTCCTCAGACAGACCCACAAACGGGCTTGAACAGTATAGATGTGACAGAGTTCCTATCTCTCGAGAGCTCGGGGACCCCTTCAAATCTCGCTGGGATCGAGGCCAATGACATTCAGGCACTGCTAGAAAAGGTGAAAGAGGAAATCAACATGAACAGCAGGTTTCCCAAGTAAAACCGCTCGCTCAGTCTAGTCCCTGGGGTTTGAGGGAAGACGCTTTTCAAAGAAAATTCCAAGCTTTTTCTTACCCAGGATTACAAACCCGGACCCGTTTACACAGAAGTGCCGTTTGCACTGAGCATTTTGTTCTGAAATGGATCCACAAATGCTCTGCGTAAACAGAAGAGGAGCCAGTTACTCCAGGTTCAGCTCCGAGACGCAATTCACTGCGGCCTTCCAGGTGTGACTTGGATTGGATCCGGGGATTTTGAGATTACTAGACTCTTCGAGCCAGTGGGAGACGCGAGTAACACGAGATCAGCACATTGGTCTTCTGCGTGTGTGTGCGTGCGTGTATGTGTGTGTGCGTATATGCGCGTGCGCGTGTGTGCGCGCGCAGGCAGTAATTTGAATTTGCGTACAAGTCCCCCAGATGAGTTGCACTGTAAGTGGGTAGAACATAGGCCTGAAGTCAGCCGTGTTAGATAATTTCACCAGTTCAAAGTCTGGGAGCCGCTCTTTCCGGGCTTCGAGAATAGAAAATATCCTGTCGGAAAATGGGGAAATAAATTGTAGTGCACCACATGATGTTGGTCACTGGAGGCTGTTTTAGATCAGTCATTGGGGGCCTCCAGTGGCCTAAGGCAGAATTGCTGCACTATAGCACTGAGTGACTTGTACAGTATGTCTTGGGTCCCAAATATTTTTCGTTCTCTGTGTGCGCGTGTGTGTCTTTTTCAAATCACTGAAGTGGGATGACTCCAGTTCACATTGTAAAACGAGTGAATGTTCAGAATATCACCTTCGCCCTTTTGTTTTTGTTTCCCAGCAATGCGGCCACTTGAGAACCAGGGTTTAGAACAAGAGCGCGCTGCTTCTGCTAACGTTTCGTGAAGTTGGAGAGCAGAAATCTTTACCAGACCAGGTTTTGGGTGCTTGGTGACATGATGGTTTCAGCTCAACGAGCTGTGTTTGGATCAAGTCCAGGGCAAAGGGATGCATTTCCTTCTGGCAGCTGCTAATGGTCCTAAACTGTGCTCGTGTGGGCAGTAACAGCACAATGTCCGGAGGAGGTGAATTAGCAGTGCACAGAATTTCACTATTGAGCAATATTTGGCACTATTTGATGGGGCCTCAAAAGAAGCTTATAGGATTGGCCGATGTGGGGAGATCATTGTGGTACAGCAGAAAATACTCTACAGAGGTTACAGCTAAAACATATTTAGGGGAAGCTTTAATTTTTGATTACTCACCTGGAAGTGTGTTTGACGCTGTTGGTGAGGAAATGGAACATGTTCCCTTTGCACACTTACTATCGTCACTTTTGCTAAGTGTGGAATCTCTTCTAACATCCACGTATTCAAACCAGCAAATCCGAAAGGTAAATGGTTGTACCGAGGATAGAGATGTAACAGATAGGATATAGCCTGGCTAGGTTTGTCTTTGTAGAAAATGAGCCAACACCATCAAAATACCATGCGATATCCCAATGAGTTTTAAAAAAAATTTCAGCACTTAAAAATTCTAATTTAACCGACTGAGTGATCGACAACATATTTGACTCTACAAATTTGCTTCTGCAAGAACAGCCCTGTGATGCATTTCCTCCGACTGTAACAATGCAGAGCGGCATCACAGCCTAGCAATATTCATACCACAAAACTGTAACCGTTCATGCCAATTGCAATAGTTGCACAGGAGCGTGCAGTGAAGCTCTTTAAAAGGCTCACGTGGCAATTGAATGTATACAGTGAGAAATATTTCCTTGAATGCTTCACGTGCTGGAACCGTAACTCATACACCATTTACAGGCCTTTCCTGAAATCCACCCTTTTTAATATGTGTCATTATGAATACTGTTATTTATTAACACTGGATCTTTGTATGAAAACCTTTTGTTAGAGCCTTTTCGGTCTCCACCGTGAGCTTTATATCGAGTTGTTCAAAGTTTCAACCTTTTGACCTGATCTGAAGATGATTCAAAGTCGATCAATGATGTTGGTATTTCTGCACTCTTGCAGTATCCTCAAATTCAAAAATTAATAGTGAAGCAAAATATCATTCTTACAAATTTTAAACCAAGTTCAGAAAACAGACTAAATACTGTATGAAGCCTAAAGTCAATCCTGTTGTGAGAGTGGGTGGTGCAGTGGTTTAGCTCACGGTTCACTGTCCTGCAACTCGGGTTGATTTCAGACTGTCTTTGTCCCTGTAACCTGTAAGACTCCCAAGTTGAAGGATTTTAGCTGTTTCAACCCAGTTGCAAGTGGTTATATACCCACAACACTGACCATAATTTTCTACAAATTGGCAAGACTCGCTCAGAAAAAACTGGAGGGTGGCTGGTGTGGGAAATGGGAATTACCGCAGTGTATAGCTTTTCCGAGTTTGGTTTTAAGATGCTTTCTTTGTCGGGCATTTGGCCAATGCTGCTGCTTAACTGTGAGTCAGTGTTGCTGATGACAGATGGAAACATTGCGTGTGTCCTTCACCCAGCAGAGGTTTTTCGTTTCAGTTGAGCACCAAACTACCAAAAATATTTTTTTTTGCAAAAGATACAGTAATGCAAGCTATTGGTTATACCTAATTAGAATGGCTTTCTTCAAAAGACATGTTGTGGTATGCCAATTAAATCTTAATATCTATCTCTCCCACTGTGAAATCCTTCTATCATCAAGAAGTCACTCTGCTAAATTCATAGATGATTATATGTGGGAACATCAAATGCTCAGGGAGCTCTTTAATCATGCCAGAATTGCCATTGGACCCATGGTGTGCTCTCTCGTGTCCTCCCGAGTTACCTAAGGCTATTTGCTCCCTCCTCTCAAGCCAAAGGTGACTCCCACCATCCCATGCTACTGTAAGCGAGTTGGGTCAATATGATCTTTTTTTAAAAAATCCCAGTACTTCAACTCATAATGTCCAAATTGAAATCCAGCTGTTGTAACAGGAGTTTGATAACCATATTAAATTACGTGGACCATAATGTAATTAGATGGGTTTCATATGGATTGAACAATCAAATCTAAAATGGATCCTATTGTGACATCCCTTTGTAACTCATTATTAATACAGCGGTCTGGCATTAGAAGACCTGTCTGATACTATTGGGAAGAGTCTTGGCTATAAGAGAGGGAGAGAGTCTCTCCATTACCAAACCACATGTCTACTGAATACTCCACATTGTAATTTTAGTAAGCCCAGTGATTGGAATGCCTTCCAGTTTTGTGATGCAAGGTACGGGTTACAGTATTCGATGTCGCTTCACTATGACAGTAATTTCTGACCCTTATTTAATAGCGTACATAAATTTAAATCAGTCCCTAAAAATAATACTATACCTTCTTGGTAAGCTTATGTTATGTGCAATAAGAGTGTGTTCGTGGGGGGTTTTCAGTGTTATTGACCTTGAAGGTGCAATTAAATTAAAGTTTATATTGTTCATTTTGCTTTGAGTTTACAACACAGATGGATAAAATCCTTTTGTTAATGTATAATCGTAGAAAACTTTACAAAGGTTTTATTTCTTTCAGAAGTTAGCAATGTTCCTATTCGAATGGAAATTGGCGTTAATTAATGTAGATTTGCTGTAAATTGTTCAAAGGTTCAAATTATTGCCATTATTTGGGATAAATTGCCTCTAATTGTGGTTTGGCTACAAAATAATTCAAACTCTTTTTTGCATCCTCTTTGTTCAGGTACAAAAGATCATTAACAATAGATAGTGTTCTTAAAAATAGGTTTTCTTTGGGGACTAAATATCTTTTCCGATGCTAATGAGTTTTATTTTTAGCACAAATGCAGGGTAAGGGATAGGGAATCAGTGCTTGAGGTGTCAATACTGTCAAATGTGAAATAAAGTGATACAATAGGTATATTCTAAAAAAGGTATTTAATTTAAAAAAAACTCCTATACTTCCAAGAATTTGTTTTTACTCCCGTCCCACTGATGTTATTAGGAAGGGCGGGTTTAAAACAATCAACACTTTCCAAAAGGTTTTTCAAAACTTTTCTAAAATTCTGCATGATCTTAAATGTTAAGATCACTTTAGATTTAAGACCATGAGGGAATTGGGAGCTCTGATACTCCATATATTTTCCCCTCTGAGACCAACTTGTTTTCTTCTGCATTCTTCATTTGTTTGATTACCCGTAAAGCAAACTTGGTTTAAAATGAGACTAGATTTTTCTTTTGAAAGTCAGCTCGCTGCCTAAAATCGGTGCATATTTTCCAAACTGGAGTGAATTCCTAAAACGTGGGATTCGAAGACGTGAAAAGCGCTATATCAAATGCAAGGATTATGATAAGTCAATTACACATTCCTCCCTCAATAAACTTGCATTATTTTCATCTGTCAATTTATCTCCCATTTTCTCCCCACTTTCCTTTTCTGGAGTCAACTGACTCCTTGTTCTTCTACTTGGCAACACTTGCACAGGTACATAACTAGGTCTGGTACCTTGCACAATTGATCTTGATAGCAAATGTTGGCTGGCTATACAAACGAGGCATCTGAAGCTGATTGAAGCGACTGTGGCCCTGGGTGAGGTTAACTCACAGGTTACAGAATGGGATTTGAACCTATGATTTGATCTGTATGGCTCAGTGCTCACATGGCAGTACATTTAACCCCTAAACTACCTCCCCAGCTTGATTTATTCAAGGATCATAATCTTGCATTAAGATAACAGACTTTAAGACCAATTTGTGTGTGTGTGTGTATAACGTATACATATATAGTATATGTTTGTGTGTGCTATAATTGTATCTGGAAGTTAATAAATAATCCTGGTCAACAAATCCCCCAAATAAAATTAGTCATTCACTCTGTGGCGATTTGTGGGACATTGTTACGTGTAAATTGGCTGCCATGTTTCGCCCACAAAATACAGTCAATCCACTTTACACTACATCCTGTGACGTGCTTTGAGACGTCTCGACGATGTGATAAGGCACTACATCAAATGAAACGGATTATTATTGTAATCACAAATCTTGGGGGTCTATTACATCTGTTGGTCAATAGTTTATGATCGCTAATGACTCATTTTTCTCTATGCAATTCACTATGAGGATGCTATCCGAGAAATAAAACCAT